TGGTGGGCCTTATGTTGTGCAATACTCAAGGAGGCTGCAGGTGATTCTTTTCATGCCCATCTATGACCACCTGCTTCGGCAGGATTTTTCTGTGGAATATTCTTTGAATTTTGAGCCTCCAGCTGAGAGGCTCTCAGCAGAGAAGGATGGACGTTGATCTACACAGTATCCTATGTTTAACAGGTTGGTAAGATTTCAGGTTTTGAATTTTATTCAGGAAGCACTTTGGAGAATGTGGGAGTCCTTTTTTTTTTTTTTTTTTTTGCACTAGTCTGTAATTTGTTACCTCCTTTCCTTCAATAATGGTAGTAACTCAACATTTTCACATAAAATTCTATTCATTGGAGTACTTTTTGAGTACAGCAGAAAAGTGGAACATGATCATTAAAAATTATTATTTGAATCTCTGTCTCTATTTGCTTGTCCTTTTTCTCTCTGAATAATTCTTCTTTAAAGCTTGACTGGAACAAGACTCTGCATTTCTGGGTGTAGATATTAAATGAAGCCACTCACGCAGTCCGTCGGTTTCACATTGCAGATATGGCAAAGGATACTAGTGCCTGCAGTATTACTAGGAGCAGAACATGAAACTACTAGACAAAAAGACAGAGTCCACAGCAGTGGTTCTCCAACCCTCTCCCACCTCCACCAGGATGGAGAACCAAATCTTCTATCACTTTTTCTCATGTTCTTAAGTTGTAGATTACTCTCAGATTATTGGGCATGAGACACAGTGACAGAGAGGTACACAGGTGCAAGGTCATATGACACAATTACTTGATCCGTAGAAAGTAGTGGAGAATGCAATTTGAGAACTACAAGTTTAGGACTCTATTCCAAATACCAATTTTAAATTAATACACACACACACACACACACACACACACACATTCTGCCGAAGAAGAGAAATTAAAACTGACAAATTTCATTATTAAAAAATTCATCAGCCTGGTGCAGAGAGAGGTTCATGGCTGTAATCCCAGCATTTTGGGAGGTGGAGGCGAGAGGATTACCTGAGCTCAGGGGTTCGAGACCAGCCTGAGCAATAAGGCGAGATGTCTCTACAATAAATCAAAAAATCAGCTGGGCATGGTGGCACATGCCTGTGGTTCCAGCTACTTGGAAGGCTGAGGCGGAAGGATCACCTGTGCCCAGCGGGACTAGGCTGCGGTGGCCATGAACATGGCACTGCACTAAAAAACAAAACAAAAACAAACAAAAAAAACCACAACAACTCATCAAAAGGTGTAAAGTCTACTTTTGAGAATGCCAGGACTCAATTATCAGATAACTATAGTTTATGAAACCTAATATGGAATGTAGAAGTTAAAAATGGTCCTAAAAACATGAATTTTATGATTTTTCCTGGTTTCCTATATTAATGCCTTTTATAAGGAGTTTGACTTTCTGGAACTGAAGGAAAAAAAGGGGAAATTTTATATCACTCATTACACAGGCGGACCAAATTCACCTTTCATTCATTAAAAGTCACACAGAATTTGGATGACAGTAGGTGAGATTCCGTAAAGGACACCTAAGTCATTTAATCGTAAATATTATCCATTTAATGTTTTATTTGTTGAATGACAAAGGCAATAAAAATACATTTGTCTTCATTCAACTTTTTCTCTATACTTTTGTTTATAATTATTAAATTCTAGTCACTAGTCATTATAGGAGAAAGTGGGGAGGTGAAACTCTTTACTAAATATTGTAATAATCTAAATTTCTGTAGTGCAGAGAACTCCAGTCCTTTGCTCAAACTCCCTTTGTTCAAACAACACTTGATTTAACCAAAGACCCAGTGTGGCTGTAAAATTTTGATAATTCTTCAGTGCTGATTGTAACAAAATTTTATTTGAATTACCTATAAGCAATGAGTCAGGGTTCATTGCTTTATATACAATGCCAGGGGTCAACTGCTGGCAACAGTTAGGTTGGTTGGCAAATTAGAAATTGGTCCCACGTCTAATCCTTTTTAAAAAACTGTGTTTGAGCTAGTGCTCAGCTTTGTAGTGGGGGTATACTGCTTAACCTGGAGAGTGGGGGCGGGGTGTTGATTTACATAGAAAGCATAGAGAGGCCAGACTTCGTGGCTCTTGGCTGTAATCCGAGTACTTTGGGAGACTGCGGTGGGAGGATTGCTTGAATCCAGGAGCTCAAGACCAGCTCAGGCAACATAGTGAGACCTTGTCTTTACAAAATATCAAAAAAGCTGGGCGTGGTGGCATGCGCCTGTAGTCCCAGCTACTCTGGAGGCTGAGGAGGGAGGATTGTTTGAGCCCAGACATTTGAGGCTAAGGTGTGCTGTGATCATGCCACTGCACTCCAGTCTGGGCAACAGAGAGAGATCCTGACTCAAAAAGAAAAAAAGAAAAAAAAAAGAGTAAAGAAACACTTAGGACATGTCTCAACACATTTTGCATTTGATGCACTGCCTGAATCATGTTTGTTAAAATGACATTTGGTAATCAATTATGAGAAGTGAAAATTTTGGTTAGTTCAATGCGCCTACTGGACTTTATTTTCAAGAGCAGTTCAGGAGATTACTTCGTCCAGAAGTAGCTCTTGTCATCATCTATCTGCTGAGGTCTGAGCACTGTATGTCGATTCCCTCATCCACCTGATCAAGAAAGTGCATGACCCAGAACAGATTGGTGGTTTTGCTTGTGTTTTCTTCATGTTTAGAGTGAAATGCACAGCTCACTGCTACTTTATATCCCAATTTTCAACCAGGCACTTTTTCAACTCCCTTCTAAGGAAAGCAGAAGCCCCGTGTGGGTTACAGCTGTATGGCAACTAGCCATGGCTCTTTGTCCCTGTCAGATGGCATCTCAGAAATCCCTCCAATTCATCAGTTCTGCAGCTAGCTGACCCCAAGACAGGGATCAGCCACCCCGGGGATGTGCAGGTGAGATACCCTGATGGGGAGTTTTCCAACCACTGTAATGTGCTGGTACTTCACTTTTGTTCCCTTTAGTTTTCTAATTTTCAGATAAAATTCTATTTCACTACCTCTAAGTATTGCCAATAAATTATAGGTCAATTCTCTTACCGGTATGATCAGGGAATGAGTTTTTCTGGTGTACTATCTACTGTAAATGGATGGTCACCTTTTTACAGCCTATGGGTTACTCTGAATGGCTCAGAGCCTACTTCAAGACCTTTCGGCATGTCACACAGGTTATATAGGACTCTGTCACTCCACTGTATGATGCAGAAATGTGGCTACATGAGGTGCCCAGTAGACAGCATGACAGACACAGCAGCAGAGATTTTTCTGATTGCCACTTCTGTAACAAAACATCTGGAATGAAAAATTCCAATGTTTTTCTCCTTTGCTATTTCACTGCTCCTGTTGAGTCATAAAAATGACTCAAAACTGAATTTCTAATTTAAATGAGGCTTTTTGCAGCAAGTTTGGGTAACACTGCTTGCCAAACAGAAAGTTTGTATATGTACGTAGACAAAGAAAAATTTTTCCCCTATCTATGAAAACTCTTGCAAAAGTTTAAATATTAAATCACAAGTAAACATTTAATTAATCACCTATGGAAAAAATGATCTATCACTTGAAAGAAGAACAGTCCCAGAAATTCCAATTTTTATACTTATGTGTCAAACCACTTGTGCTGGAATTCATGAAAGGAAAGAATTTTAGAGTATTAAAAATGTCAGTTCCATTAGTTTCAAATTTATATATTTCAAACCAGACTAACTCTGTCACTGTGTTACAGAACCTGATGAGAGGAATAGCCATTTTAACTGACATATTTTCTATATGCAGATAGACCTTTGTAAAGGGTTCAAGGATAATGTATGCTTTGAAATATTGAATACTGTCTCCTAAAGCCAATCCAAACAAAAATGGTTAATGCTAATCACTGTCTTACCAGGTGAAGAAAGATTAAGCAGAGCTATGTATCACTATGTTTCCACTAATACATAGTTTGGCACTCAATAGTAAACATTTACTATATTTGCTGTAATAATTGGCTCTTATTGATAGGTATTCTAGTTTAAATCCTTACCTTTAGCTAGAAAGTTATTTTGAATGGCAGTTACAACTGGTTATTCATTCCAAAGAGATGGCATGGTGAGGGTACTCTGAAGATGACCCAGAGAAAATGCTTACCCTTATCACTGACGTCACAGACTGCCTCTGCCAGAAGTTTGGCTTTGTGGTGCTCAGGCCTGTGCTTCTGCCACGAGAACAGACTACTTAAAGCAAACATGTGCCCAGTCACCTACATACACACCACTGAGGCCAGGTTCCAGAGTCAGCAGCAGGACATCTTTATGACATTAGGTTTATTTTGGGGATACGATGTGGTTTCAATTTCATTAACAAACTCAGGTAAGTAAGCCATCACATGTCAAAAAATGATGCTCGGTCTGGAGGAGAGTCTGAGTCTCAACTATTCAAAATGGAATAGAGATTCTTTGATAAGCCTGAAAAAGGTTATCTTCTGTTCATGCTGTAAATTGCAAGAATAGGTATTTATCTTTTTTCTCCTTCCACACTATATTCTTTGGAAAAGGGATTTTTTTATTTATCAGGAAGGATGCAAATACAATTCTTTGTTCAAATGAGATCCTTGCTGTTCATTTTTATGCTATATAAGTTATTAACGGTAACTAACACTCCTTACTGAATAATGATATCTTCCCCCTCAAGGAACAACACACGCTGTTTTAAAGTCTCTTTTCAAAATCAGAGTCAGCACTATTTCTTGCAATGTATTGAATCAGAAAAGCAGAAATTTTACTTTTATTGTTTTAGTAAAGATATATCTATAAAATGTCTGGTGAGTTAGGTGATCTGTTTGGGAAAAATTAGCAATTTAAAGAAAAAAAAGATTTTAAAATGTTAATATTTGTGCAGCTGCTTAATTAGAAATAAATTCTACCATGAAGAGATATCATCTTAAAACTACAGCTGACCTATGAACAACATGGGTTTGAACTAAAATCCATGGGTCCGACTACACTCAGATTTTCTCCTGCCTCTGCCATCCCAAGACAGAAAGACCAACCCCTCCTTTTCCTCCTCCTCAGACTATTCAACATGAAAATATATCTTCTATGATTTACATAACTTTTTTCTCTAGCTTTATTATAAGAATACAGCATATAATACATGTCACATATACAATATGTGCCAACTGATTGTTTATGTTATGGGTAAAACTTTCGGTCAACAGTAGGCTATTTGTTAAGTTTTGGAGGAATCAAAGTTATACTCGGAGTTTTTACTCTGTGGGGGGTTGGCATCCCTAACCCCCTCAATGCTCAAAGGCCAACTGTACTCTATCTACCGTCATCAGTATAGAATAAATTTCAGATTATGTGTATGTTGGGTATTGGCATAATGGTTTTAAAAGTCAAAGACTTTTTACTATTAAGATGTGTTCTAGCATACAGGAGATTAAATTTTTCAAGCACTCCAGGTCCCTGAATTGAAATATATAGCAGGATGTAACAATGACTTCTAAAAATACAATTTATTAGAATAAATAATGGTACTTCATTTTATTATTATTAAAGATATTAGAGATATTTTATTATTAAAGAAAATTATCATGCGACTGGCAAGTTCTTCAGTAAAAAAATACTAATTTAACGCTGAAAAGGTTTTCAAAATCCATCACCTTATTCCGAGCGTGGCATTATACATCATCCAGGCTAGATCTGTGGTAACCCTATTCCAGAGACTTCTTAAAGGCTATTGAAATTCGCTTTCAGGAGGAAGGAAGGAGGCCTGGAGAATCACCCTCATGGCTGGCTTTAACTATGCATTCTAAATAAACAGCTGTTCTCCGATTGTGGTTGCCCAGATGCCTGAAAATTTCCTCAGACTGGACTGACTCCCACTCCTTGTAGGTTTTTAAATAGCTTAGAGAGGTGTCCTCAGGAAAAGATGCCAAGTAACTCTTTGAAACATCCTAGCCGGGCTCGGTGGCTCAGCCTGTAATCCTGCGCCTTTGGGAGGCTGAGGTGAGTGGATTGCCTGAGCCCGTGGGTTCGAGATCCGCCT